CAGCCCCACTGCTCTCCCTCGTTGCTCTCCCCAGGGCTGCCGAGGTCTCTGGTACAGGCTCCTGTCCCTGCTCCGCGCTGCCCAGCCCGGGCACTATGCCCTGAAGCAGATTGGTGGCCGCTTCGGCTCCAGTGTCCTGTCCTACTTCCTCTTTCTCAAGACACTCCTTATGTTGAACTTCTGTTCATTCTTCATCCTGCTGGCCTTCGTGGTGGTCCTGCAGGCCGTGTACCCCGCTGCATCAGTGAGCCCCCAGCCCTTCACTGGGCTGGAGCTGCTCACAGGAGCGGTAAGCGTGGCCCAGGCACCCCAGGCTGTGCCAAGCCTGGCGGGCAGCCCCGCTTTCCCACTGCAATGATACCCCAGCTCTTGCCCTTGCCCAGCCTGGGCCCCAGGACCAGCAGTGCTGTGGGTGCACAGGGTGGGGCTGCCCCAGCCCAAGGCTCTGTGTCCTGAGGCTGGCACACAGTGCCAGGCTGGGCAGGAAGCTGTGAGCGCTGCCGAGGTCACCGTGGGCCCCTCGTGTGCTTTCCCACAGGGCCACTTCACTCACTCGCTGCTGTACTACGGCTACTACAGCAACGCCACCCTGAACGACCCCTGCGCCTCCACTCCTGAGGGCAGCGTGTGCCCCCTCCCAGCCCCCCTGCTCCCCTACAACCTGCCACTGGCCTACCTGTTCAGTGTTGGGGCCTCCTTCCTTGTCACCTGCATCCTGCTGGTGTACAGGTGGGTCAGGGGCACCTGTGGCACCGCAGCCTTCCCCTTGAGCCAGCCCCCATCCCTGATGCCCTTCACCTCGCTGCAGCGTGTCCTGCTCTTTTCGGGAGAGCGTGAAGAGCGCCACGGGGGACTTGGCCATCAAGGTCTTCTGTGCCTGGGACTTCAAGGTGATCCAGAGGCGCTCGGTGAAGCTGCAGTGCGAGAACATCTGCACCCAGCTGAAGGTGGAGGAGCAAAGCACCCCGGACCCCAGCCTTGCTGTGCTTTGTCCGTCACCCCTCTGGGTCCCGCTGTGCTGCAGGGGGACACAGCCCTGCTGCAGGCCCGCGGGGGATTTGGCAGCTCTGCTCTGCT